AAGTGAAAGGGAAAGAAAAGGGAGAAGAGAAAGGAAAAGAAATGTAAAAGTAAAAGGGAAAGAAAAAGGAGAAGAGAAAGGGAAAGAGATGGAAAATGAAAGGGAAAGAAAAGGGAGAAGAGAAAGGAAAAGAAATGGAAAAGTAAAAGGGAAAGAAAAAGGGGAAAAGAAAGGGAAAGAGATGGAAAAGTGAAAGGGAAAGGAAAAGGAGAAGAGAAAGGTAAAGAAAAGGAAAAGAGAAAGAAGGAAAAATTAAATGTAAAAATAAAACTAAAAACAAAAAATAAATGTCAAAACAGAAAAAGAAAGATTCAAAGAGAAAGGAAAGTAAAAACAAAATAAAGGAGAGAGCCAGAATAAAAAAATATGAAAACATGAAAAGGAAAAAGTAGTTGGTAAAAACTGATGCTTTGCCAGTCCCGGCTTTGCCATTGCCGGTTCGCTCTCCCATTCCCGGTTCGCTCTCCCATTCCCGGTTTGCCATTGCCGGTTCGCTCTCCCATTCCCGGTTTTGCTATGCCCGGGTTTGCCATTCCCGGTTCGCTCTCCCATTCCCGGTTCGCTCTCCCATTCCCGGTTTTGCTATGCCCGGGTTTGCCATTCCCGGCTCGCTCTCCCATTCCCGGCTCGCTCTCCCATTCCCGGCTCGCTCTCCCATTCCCGGTTCGCTCTCCCATTCCCGGCTCGCTCTCCCATTCCCGGTTCGCTCTCCCAGCCCCGCGCTCTCTCCGGGGCGCTCCCGGCGCCTGAGGGGCTCCGGCCGCGGCCGCCAGGGGGCGCCAGGAGCAGCGGCCTCGCGCACGCGCAGTGCCCGCTCCCGCCGCCCCGCCCGCACCGCCTCTGACACCGCGCGGCCGGTGGAGGAGCTGCACTGCCCGGCCGGGAGCACCGGGAGCGGCGGGGACACCGCGGGCAGCGGGAACTCCGCGGGCAGCGGGAACTCCGCGGGCAGCGGGAACTCCGCGGGCAGCGGGAACTCCGCGGGCAGCGGGAGCGGCGGTGCCGGACCGCAGGAACCCGGAAGCAGCGGCGCTTCAGCCGCGGCAGTGCGCAGGCGCGGGGACAGAAGCGACCAATCGCAGCTGGCGGCGCGGCGATGACGTCACAGGGACTGTGAGGGGGCCGGGCTCCGAGAAAAGGCGCCGGAGGAACCGGGAGCGGCTCTGGGTCCGGGAGCGGTTCTGGAGCACGGGAGAGATTCTGGGGTTCGGGAGCAGTTCTGGGTTCCAGGCGTGGTTCTGGGTCTGGGAGCGGCGCTGGGGTTCAGGAGCGGTTCTGGGTTCCGGGAGTGGTTCTGGAGCACGGGAGCAATTCTGGGGTTCAGGAGCAGGTCCAGGAGCAGTTCTGGGTTCCGGGAGCGGCTCTGGGTTCAGGAGTGGTTCTGGGGTTTGGGGGCAGTTCTGGGTTCGGGAGCAGTTCTGGGGCCGGGATCTGGAGCAGGGTGTCCCAGGGGTCACTCGGTGGCCTCAGGGGGCTTGAGGAGGGTCAGAGGAATGCTCAGCCACCATGGGTGACTGATCTCCCTGCAGGGCCGTGCCCGTGCTGTGAAGAGCTGGCGCTGTGCTGCTGCCGGGTGAGATTTCCAGGCTGGATCTGCTTGAGGGACCTGGAGGAGGCGGCTGTGGCCCTGTTCGTGTCCTGGAGCTGGAGGAGAAGGATGGAAACCCGGTCATGAATCCTCCCCAAAGGAAGAGTTGGAGGTGGTCAAGAGAAGGAGCTGCTCCAGGCTGTGATTTATCCATTATGAGCTTCCCCAAAACGTATTCTGCTGCTGGCTGGCTGCTGCTGCCACACTCCACACATCCAGCATGGAAAGGGGGAATCTCCAGCCCTGGCCCTGGGTTGGGGTGAATGTTGCGCTGATTTGCAGCCGGATGCACACTGAGGGTTGAGGCAGCACTCTGGTTGGCATCCAGATCTCCACAAGCTCATTAGCAGCTCATTAGCAAGCTGTACTTGCCCAGTGTAATCCTGACAGCTTTTTGGGAGCATTCTGCAGCCTTCAAAGCAGGAGATAAGACAGGAATGTTGCAGGAAGGGAGGATGTTGTGGCTGGGGACACAGCACAGGCATGCCTGGCTTTCCAAGCTGGGAAGAGAAGGAAATCTCCATGTGCTGCTGGAGGCTCTCTCTGGCAAGGCACATGCCTCTGATCATCCCTGAGCCCCTCCTTGATTATTTGGAGTTGCTGCCCGAGCTGCCTGCACAGCTCTGTGACATCCCTGTGTTCTCAGGGAGTGCCACCCTGGGCACTGGGATGAGCTCTAAGGTGTTTCCAACCCAAACCAGTCTGGGATTTGGTAATGAATGACTTTGTGCTAATTACCCAGAGCAGCACTGGCACAAAGACTTCATGCCCTTGGCACGCCTCACCTCCTGCAGAGGATTTTACTGATTTTTGGGGTGTTGGAAGGACTGAGTGCTACACACAAGGCAATGCTGCATAAATGTTATTTTAAAGTAACATTTATTGATCCCCTGCAGTCAGAGTGGGATCAAGGACATGAAGGCCTGGCTGGTGACTTCTCCTGTTTTAGAATTGCCCAGAGCTCTAAAGGTGCCTCACTTCCCTGGGCACAGATAGGTGGGAGCACTGACAGCCCTTTGTGCTTCTGTGAAACACCTTCCTGCTCATTTTGTGGCTCTCTGTTCCATAAAAGAGATGGAAATGTTCAGTGTGTGAAGAAAACCCTTCAGTGAAGGCAGGGAGAGCCTTGGAACAAAGTCTTGGCCTTTGCTGAGCCTGAGTACAGCTTTGCTCAGAGCAGGGAACCCCAGGCTGCTTTTTTGTACCCATTTTACATAAAATGTTTCAGTCTCTTGAGTTTTGGTCACTCAGTTTGGGGTTTTTCTCCTTGACACTAAGGATTCTCTGGGGTCACTGGTTTGTTTCAGAGCAGTACTGGAGCCAATTAAACAATACTTGGTGGTGAAGCTGGTTTTGTCTTAATTTAAAAATGGGGATTTTTTGGGAGTGAGCGCTGTTTTCTGCCTGTTTTCCTGTGCTGCTGCTAAAGGTGAAGGGCATGCTGGTGCTTTTTATGTCTCTGTGGTGCTCTTTATCTCTGTGCAAACAGCCCTACATCCCAAATCCAGGGCAGTCTCTCAAGGAAGGAGTGGAGCCCCACCTCCCTCAGCTCTTTGTGGTTTGCCAGAGTCACAAAAAACGGAGTTTGAAGTGCTCAGTGCTTGTTCAGGGGCTGCAGTTGGCTCCTGCAGTGAAGGGTTACCTTTGCACAGCCCCTGAGCTGCACTTTTTACAGCTTTTGGGTTGGTCAGTGAAAATTTGGCCAATAAAACTTCAGAATTTAGCGACTTGAGCGTAGAGGGTCTGTGAGCAGGAGGCTCGTGCTGAACAAGGACAGCTCAGAGCAGCTGCTGGCAGCGAGTGAATGTTCTCATTGTGCAGCTCAGTTAGAAACTGAGTTCCAAAATTGGAGACGAGTTGTTCTCCTGCAAGAACATCAGGGAATTAGACAGATTTTATCATAATACTCTTACTTTCTACCACTTTCTTAAAAAATCTGCTTTAAAAGGAGAGGTCCAGAAGGAAAGGGGGTGGGAGAGAAAAATCCATTTCATTCTCTCCCCCCCTTCACAGCTAATCAGACTTGGATTTTTTTTCTGTTTAATTGGGATATCTGAGAGTTCAGCGGGAGGAACAAAGAGGTAAAATGGCTCCAAATTCTCGTGGAGCTTGGCACAGTTTTAGGAGACACAAAGTTACTGTCACAGCTTCTCCTGGGATTTGTTTTGCATGAATATAACACAAACACACCCAGAGTCAGACAAAACTGCAATTTGGGGTTCAGGGTCTGACAAGAATATTTGAAATGCAAATAGAAAATACTTGCTAAAATCAAGTACAAGAAGGAAGTGGGGTGGGACATATTTCCTGGTTTTTAAAGGAGAAATCGAAACCCATTTTTATGTCTGTGTTGGCTTTAAAAGCTTTAAGGAATACAGGAGGGAAAAATGCTTCAAAACCTGGAATCCTGTGGGACCAGCACTGCCTTTCCCATCCATTAAATAATTCAAGGTTTGCTGGAATTTCCTTGGAGCTGCCCGAAACTGCCAGGTGCCAAGGGAGGTGCCAGAGCTGGGGAGGGGGTGACGAGGCTCAGAGGGGACACACAGGGTGGAAGGGGACACCCGAGGTGACAGCCCGGGCTCTGGGGAAGCAGCAACTCCCAGGATCTCTGGAAGCCAGGAAACCCCAACAGATCTGCAGTTTTGGGGGAGCCCCAGGAGTCCCTTCAGCAATAAATGAGCCCCACACGTATAAATCTATATATCATATGTGGATGTATCTTCAGCACAATCCTATTAGCCTTGAGGACATCAGGGTGGTCTAAAACACACCGTGGGACACAGGCAGGACTTTTCTTGCTTGCGTTAGAGAAAAAGCCAATTAGTATGTTAATTAGCTGGGGGCTCCGTGCTCCAATGCATTTGAATGTTTAAACAGATGGGAGGCCGGGGTTGCAGTAGCAAAGCGCTTGGGACAGTTTCAGGAGGCTCCTGGCACCGAGAAATTTTGCCGCAGATGTGCAAAAATCAAGGGCCGAAGAGTTTTGAGGGAGAACGTGCGGAAAGAAAGGGAAAGAGGGCGGGGATTTTCCCAATCCGGCAGGAAAAAACGGAACTTCCCATACCGGGAGTCGAACCCGGGCCGCCTGGGTGAAAACCAGGAATCCTAACCGCTAGACCATATGGGAGGCGCTGAGAGATAGGGCTCCCCAGCGTCCTAAAGTGTTTACTGCCCGCCCCGCTGACTGCCACAGTGAGCCCGCCAGCTCTCGTTCTGCTGTTCCACGGGAACACCGGGAGTCACCGGGAATACCCGGTATTAGTTAGGATCCCCCAGTAAACGCCCTCGCCGTGCCAGAAAGGCGCTGCCCTCATCCAACATGGCGGCCGAGGCTTCGGCCGCCCCGCGCCCGAGTCACGTGACGCCGGAGGCGCCTGCGCGGGGCGGGCGCTCACGTGACCGACGGCGGCCGCCGAGCGCTGAGTCCCGTGAGCGCGGGGGGCGGGACCGCCACAGCCCCGAGCCGGGCACCGCCACCGCCCCGGGCACCCCCCGAGCCGGGCACCGACACCGGCCCGGGCACCGCCACAGCCCCGAGCTGGGCACCGCCGAGCCGGGTACCGCACAGCCCCCGAGCCGGGCACCGCCGAGCCGGGCACCGCCGCCGCCCCGGGCACCGCCGAGCCGGGCACTGACACCGCCCCGGGCATCCCCCGAGCCGGGCACCGACACCGCCCCGGGCACCGCACAACCCCCGAGCCGGGCACCGGCACCGCCCGAGCCGCCCGGCCTGCCGGGGCTCACACCGGCAGCGCCCCCCGAGCCGCCGGAGGTACCGGGGGTCCCACCGGCATCGCCCGCCAAGCCGGCCCCGCGCCGCCCATCGCCGCCGGAGGTACCGAGGCACGGAGCGGGGGGCGCGGGCGCTGCGGGGATGGGGCTGCGGGAAACCCCCGGGAATGGCGGGGATGGGCTGCGGGACATCCCGGGGAATGGCGGGGATGGGCTGCGGGATATCCCGGGGAATGGGGCTGCGGGATATCCCGGGGGATGGCGGGGATGGGCTGCGGGATATCCCGGGGAATGGGGCTGCGGGATATCCCGGGGAATGGCGGGGATGGGCTGCGGGATATCCCGGGGGATGGGCTGCGGGACATCCCGGGAAATGGGGCTGCGGGATATCCCGGGGAATGGCGGGGATGGGCTGCGGGATATCCCGGGGGATGGGCTGCGGGACATCCCCGGGGATGGCGGGGATGGGCTGCGGGATATCCCGGGGGATGGGCTGCGGGACATCCCGGGGGAATGGCGGGGATGGAGCTGCGGGATATCCCGGGGGATGGGACTGCGGGACATCCCAGGGAATGCCGGGGATGGGCTGCGGGATATCCCGGGGGATGGCGGGGATGGGGCTGCGGGATATCCCGGGAATGGCGGGGATGGGCTGCGGGATATCCCGGGGGATGGGCTGCGGGATATCCCCGGGGATGGCGGGGAAGGGGCTGAATGGCGTCCCGGGGGAGTGGAAGGACATCCCCGGAGGCGGGGCTGCGGGGAATCCGGAGGGAAGGGGCTGCGGAGGGGCTCCCGGCCCGGCCGCAGCGATCCCAGCCGGGCCGGGTGGTTTGGGGAGCGCCGGCGGTTCCCCGGCGGCAGCGGGAGTTCCCCATGGCCCGGAGCAGGGGGAGGGGAGCGGGGCTGTGTCAGCGCTTCCCGGTACCGGGGGTGGCATTGGGATTGGCATTGGGATTGGCATTGGCGGGCGGAGCCTGTGCGTGTGGGAAGCAGCGATCCAAGGTGGGTTTCTCTCTGTAGGTGTGTGATGCCAAGCACAGCCATGAAGAAAAAGGTAAGGACAGGGAGGAGGATTCTGTGTTTTCCTCCCCATCCCCATCCAGAGCACCGTTTGTTGTATCCATCCCTCGGGCTGGGGCTCTGGTGCCCCTTGGAGTCAGTGCTGCATCCTCTGTGGAAGTGCCAGGCGTTAAAACCGGATTTAATCCTGGCCTGGATGGGCTGGTTTTGTGCAGAGCCTTCCCCGGCAGTTTCTGTTCCCTGGGTGTTGCAAAACCTTCTGCAAACCCCGTGCTCAGGGAGGAGGATCTGCTCCTGTCTTGCCCTGTCCCTGGGCCACCCTCCTGAGGTGTCCCAGGAGCCCCAGATCCCCTCGGGGCTCCCAGGAGGATGGAATTTAACAGTAGGGAAGGAGCAGCAGCTCTGGGCATCGAAGGGGTGGGTGTATCCCAGCAGGAGCACAGCCAGAGCTCTTCAAGGAACATCTGGGTGCTTTTCCGTGGTGGGGTGGGGTTGGGTTCCCTGTCTGACCTCTTTGCAAGGCCTCTGCATCCTAAACTTTGGGAACTGGGGCTGGTTTGGGCCATGCCTCAGAGTGGGATCGAGTTTCTGCTTGGGATTTTGTGCTGGTGCTGTGAAATAAGAGCTTGGCTGTTCTCTGGGATCAGCTCAGGGGACAGGACAGGACAGGGCAGCATCCAGGGTGTGGAACAGGCAGGAACACTCCTTGTTGCCAATCCTGGAGCCTGTGGGCAGCTTCCCTTTGGCCAGGGTGCTCCCAGCCCAGAGCTGCTGCAGGGGTGACCCGAGCACACAGGAGTAACCCAAATTAAACAGGATTGGGGAGTTCTGCCTTGCTTTTGTGCGAGGCAGCTCCTGCCCTGCTGTCCAGGGTGAGGGGAGGCTGGGAGGCACTCACTGGGCTGTTCTCCTGAAATCCCTCCTGGATGGCAGACAGGAGCTGGATTTGGCTTTGTGACTTGTTTAACAGCTGGGTTTTGTGAGCAAGGCTGTGTTGGCTGCCACTGATGGGTTTGTTTTGTTTAATTTTTATTTTTAGATCACAATGTAAAGCCTTGCCTGGTGTGACTGTATCCCCTCATCCCCACCCCCCCTGCATTCCCTACTTTCTGGCTGCCTCTCCTTTCCCCTGAGGTCTGCAGGGATGGGACATCATGGAGCCAAGAGTCTCCTCTGGAGAGGTGTCACTGGAGCCATAAAGGGTGTCCCCTGCTCTGGGGACCCTGACCTGGCTTGTCCCATTTACTTTTCCCGTTTTTTTTTTTTGCCTTCTGTCACCTGAAACTGGAAATGTCCCTGGTATCTGGGGAAAAAAAAAAACAGACAGTCATATTGTGGGAAGAGCAGTATTAGAAGGTCTTTAAAGTCCATCCCACCCGTGTCTTGTTAGGACAGAGTATTTGGGGTGGAAAACCAGGAGCTGAGGGGTTGTTTGTGGTCTGGAGAGTCAAGACAAAACTGTTCCTCATCTTCAAAATCCTTTGGTGCCACCAAAGCCATCAGGTGGGAGGGGCTGGGAATGAGGAGGCAGCTCCTGCTTTTCCCAAGTCCTGTCCACATTTTTGTAGAAAAGTGTTTAATCTGACCA